TTAAGATATTTTAATCAAAATGTTCATTCAACTCCTCATCCAAAAGCAAAATCAAAATTTGTTGGAGTTTCAAAGAAAAAGGTTTTGGATCAAGATGCTAATCTGAAAGCATATGAAGCCAAATTGAAACAAGAAGAAGAAAATGTTTTGGATAAAATGCAACAACAAATAACATTAAATTCTTATCGAAAAACTTCGTTTGTTGAAATTAATCTTTGTGATAATAAATATCAAGTTTTCAAAAAGGAAAAAGGAGTGAATAATGTTGTGATTAAGAAATCATTTTGCATCGACAAAACAAAGATTTTTCCTGTCTTGAACTCAAAAGAAAATTTCTCACTAGGACCCAAAATGGTCTAGGTTCCTAAATTTCCTTAATTTTGTAGGTAATTCATGACGAACAGCTCGATTCAGAATGTTATATTGATAGTGGTTTTTCTCATCATATGACTGGAAGGAAATTAAAGTTAAGAGAGTATCGAAGTTTGAATGATGGTGAAAAAGTGAAATATGGAAACAATGCAACTGGTTGTAGGTTCTGGTCTCAAAGTATCATTTGATGAGGATGGATCGGAAATTATTGATAAAGCTTCAGAGAAGGTGATTCTAAAATCAAAACAAAAAAGAGAAATAACATTTGTGTACAGCTTACGAAATGGGAAAACAAAGTAGAAAAAGTCATTCATTAATAATAAATACTAAAATTGTTGAGCCACTTGAATTATTTCGTATTGATTTACGTGGTCCCTCATCAATTGAAAGTATTGGTGATAACAAATATATCTTGGTTATTTTTTATGGTTTTTCATGGTCTACATGGGTTTTCTTTTTTAAACAGAAATATGAAACTACAAAAAGGATGATTAATTTTGTGAAGTAGATAGAGTTACAATTGCGAAAACCAGTTCGGAAGATTAGAAGTGATAATGGATCGGAAATGAAAAATCAAGTATTTGAAGAATTCTTGATAAAGAAAGGCATTAGTCATAAATTTTCATCTCCGTACACTCCACATCAGAATGTTGTAGTTGAAAGGCAAAACCGTTCCGTATGTGAAGCTGTGAGAACGATGTCATCCTTTGTCAATCTTCCTTTATATTTATCAGCTGAAGCGATTGGAGTTGCATATTTTACTCAAAATCGTTTATTTATCAATAAAATATTTTCTATTATTCCATATGAAATTTTGAATAAACGAAAACCTAATGTCAAATTCTTTCATGTTTTTGGTTCTAGGTGCTTTATCTACAACTCAAAAGAACATCGCAACAAGTGTGTTGTTAAAGTTGATGAATGAATTTTTCTAGGATACTCCTTGATGTTAAAATCTTTTTGAGTTTTCAACAAGAAATCTAAGAAAATTGAAGAGTGCTAGCTATTATGTTGCTTTTGATGAAAAATTTGTCAAAAATTCTCAACAAAATTTGAATGTTCTGTATGATGAAAATTTTCCATCTTCTAACTCTCAAACGTATCCTCTTATGACTCTTTATGAAGATTTTTTAAATCTTTTTGATGATACAGGAAAACCAATTTCTTCTAAATAAAAAGCTAAAGATAACAAAGAAGATGGATTGTTGAAACTAATTGATGATGCAATTGAAAATATTGAAATCATGAAGATAGTCAAAATCATAATATCAATTCTGATTTAAATAATGATGATATTGTCCAGGCGGAGAATTCAAATCAGAATACAAGTATCGAGGGGGAGAATTCGAATCCGGATACAAATGTTGAGGGGGAGAATTCAAATCTAAACACAAACATCCAGGGGGATAGTTCAACACATAATGACACTGATGAATAATCAAAAGTCGAAGAAATAATTGTTGAAATTATAGATGAGCAAAGGAACTGACCCGGACCCGGCCCGACCCGGACGCGGCCCTGGAACCAAAGTCGGCCGAAATTAAGAACCGAACCGGACCGCCAGTTCTACCGGTTCCTATCGGTTCTTTCCGTGTCTTCAATGTTAGAACCGGTCCTTGAGAAATAGCAACATATGGTTCCAGTTTTTACCGGTTCTACTGGTTTTTGTTGGTTGTACCGGTTCCCGTTCCTACCGGTTCCCGGTTCCAAAAATCCACAAGAATATCATCCCGGTCCCAGCCCGACCGGTTCCGTTGGGTTCTGGTTCCGGTTCCGGCCGGTTCCCCGGTCCATATGCTCATCCCTAGTTGAAATTGATCCTGAATATGATCAAATTTATCCACCTTTGACAAAGTAGACAAAAGATCATCTGAAAAATGGAATTTTGCATGTTTAGTTCTTTTATTTCAAAAATTGAACCTAAAATCGTTAAAGTTGCTCTTGATCATGCAGATTGGGTCAAAGCAATGTAAGATGAATTGAATGAGTTTAAGAGAAATAACGTCTGGAGACTAATTCGAACTCTGAAATATGCTTCCGTTGTAGGTTTTGAATGGGTTTTTAGAAATAAGATGGATAAAGAAGGGGATATCATTCTGAACAAATCACTTCTAGTGGTCAAAGGATATCGTAAAGAAAAAGGAATTGATTACGAAGAAAAATTTGCTCCTGTTGCTCGACTGGAATCTGTTCGTATCTTTCTAGCATATGATGCTCATAAAGTTTGTGAAGTTTTTCAAATGGACGTGAAGTGTGCGTTTCTGAATGTAGATCTTGAAGAAACAGTTTATGTCAAACAACCACCAGGTTTCGTAAGTGAAAACTATCCAAATCAATATTATGTTCTTGATAAAGCCGTTGATGGTTTGAAACAAACTCCATGTCCATGGTATGAAACTTTGACTCGACTTCTTAAACAATCCAAATTTAAACAAGGTTTTGTTGATCCTACTTTCTTTCGTAAGAAGGAAGGTGAACATCTTATGATTGTTCGGATTTATGTTGATGACATCATTTTAAGATCCAGTAATCGTTCTTTAACTAGTGAATTCGAATATTGATGGAAACTAAATTTGTAAATTTGAAATGAGTTTGATGGGACCAATAAATTCCTTTCTTGGGTTAAATATAACACAGAGCAAGGAAGGTATTTTCATTAATTATAAAGCTTACAGCAAATCATTACTCACGAAATTTGGAATGATAGGTGATTCGAAAGTTAAAGTCCCCATGGCATTCAGAACAAAATTGACTCCATCTCTTGATAAACCTGCTGCAGATCTTACACAATATCGACAAATGGTTGGATCAATTTTGTATCTCACTACAAGTAGAACAGACATTATGTTTGTTGTGTGCTATTGTGCTTGTTATCAAGCCAATCCTCGAGAGCCACATATGCTAGTAGTGAAAAATATATTTAGATATCTAAAGCGAACATCATCTCTTGGTTTATGGTATCCAACTAATTCTGGATTTTTCATAAAGGTTTTTTAGATGCTAATCTCGGAGGTTGTGAGCTTGATAGGAAAAGTACTATAGGTGGCTGTCATTTTCTGGATGGAAACTCATAACTTGGCAATCAAAGAAGCAGACGTATGTTTCACTTTCAACTTCTAAAGCCAAATACATTGCAATTGCTTTATGCACATCTTAAATAATTTGGATACAAAAATAAATTAAGAGACTATGTAATTAGCATGAAGAAGATTCCTTTTTATTGTGACTCAAAAAAGTGCAATTCATATTTTTCATAATCCAGTTCAGCAGTCTAAGACAAAACACATCGCCTTAAGATATCATTTTATAAAAGACCATGTTGAAGAAGGAAACGTTGAAGTTCGTTTTGTTAGATCAACATATCAATTGGTGGACATATGCACAAAAGCCTTACCGAAAGTTTCTTTCAGTCGAATTCTTCAAGGGCTCGGAATGATTGAGGCTGAATCAGTTCCGAAATCATTTTCGTAATTATGAAATGTTTCGATTGTCCGAAGCCATCAAAATTCATTATTCATATCGGAATTCAAATTGTTAATTCCGTAATGTTCCGAGCGTCGGAAGTCATTGGATTTCACTATTCATTTTGGTTTTTGATCTTTATTTTCGAGTTGTTCTGATCGTCGGATGCAGTCGAAAATTACTTTTCATTTCTGAATTTCTTTTCTTTCTTGCAGTTACTTCTTAGTTACGAGAGGGTACAATCATCTGTAGGCCGGTGCACTAAGGTAACTTTCTTTTCTTTATTTTTGTCTTTAAATTTCAGAAATTTCAAAAATACAAAAAGATTTTCTTAATTTTTTAAATTTCAAATTTTCAAAAATACAAAAAGATTTTCTTAATTTTTTACTTTAAATTTCAAAATTTCAAAAATACAAAATTTTTTTCTTTATTTTTGTCTTTAAATTTCAAAATTTTCAAAAATACAAAAAAAATATTCTTTATTTTTGTCTTTAAATTTCAAAAATATAAACAATACAAAAATATTTTCTTATTTTTGCTTTTAATTTTAAAATTTTCAAAAATACAAAAGGATTTCTTTATTTTTTTCTTTCAATTTCAAAATTTTCAAAAATCCAAACAAATTTTCTTTATTTTTGTTATGGATTGTTAAATCTCAACAACAATTTTCACTTAACCCCTGATGTTCTGAGTCTAAACCAACTTGGAATGAGGTTTTGTGAAAATTGTTTATATGATCATTTTCATTATTACCACACTACTAGAAAACAATCCTTTAATGACGCACAAACAATGACATTCGCTGATAGAGGAAGCGCATTTGTTTGTGCCCTAAAAATAATGTCATCTCTCTTAAAATTTAAATGATTTAGGACACGCATTTTTGCGTGCCCTGAAATTAATGTCTAAACAAAAAAAAAACACGGAGTGCACCTATAATAAAATGTGTATCGTCTAAGGCTGTCACTTTATAAATTTTAATAGCACGAGCGCGTTTCATCCCGAGGGAAAAATGAAATCCCAAAAACTTAAAAACCCCGCCCTCCTCTTTGTAATAGCTAGGGATTTTTGTCAAGAACTGCCCTGGCCTCCTTCCTCTGCTGCACGTTCTCTCTTCAATTTCCATTTCTCTCTTTCTCACTTCGACAAAACCCTTTCTCTTCTTCTCAATTCTCGACGTCGATAACTTCTCCCACCTCCGATGTTTCTCTTGGCGCCGACGCCTCCCATCTTTGACCTCCGTCCAGCCCCGCCTCGCCGTCCATCGCTTTCCAGCGACACCCAGCCGGTGGAGTCCCTCTTCTCCGATAGAGAGCGACACCTCCGGTGTCTAGTTTCATGAGGAGACTGCAACTATCACCAAGAGACTTCGGAGAATCTGAAGGCTACTGTGAAGAGCACGAAGCAGCTCTGTGTTGTATGTTCCTTTTCCTTCATTTCTTATTACCATGTTCTCATTAATCTGAACGTTGCATCCCTCCTGTTATTGTTATTGTTCATCGACAAATTTACACCAAAAAATTAAGCGACCTACGGACCTCCGACCTGGTTATTGACCTCCAGTGAGTGCTATTGGTTCTCTTGTGTAATTATCATCGAATTTGATAGTATTAGTAATTATCTTGACTTCTGGACCTGGTTCTTTGCTACTGTGTTACATTGACTCAACTTTATTACTTCATTACTTGATTAGCTTAGGTTTCTGGTAAATAGTTAGAAATTTTTTGGTCATAGTCAGATAAAAATATTAAATCTTATAGTACATGAGTTTGTTGATGCGTGTTCTTTTATTCTTTCAGGTCCACATACTAACAAGGAACAAAAACCCAATTTCCTGTTGTTCTTTAAGGACCCACACAGGTAAAGACCCCTTACATTGTTTAGATCCATCTTATAAGTGAGTTTTTCTTGTAATTTACTTTTTGGTTTTTATAGATACAAGAAGCTCCTCTGCTCGGTGGATCTTACAAAGGACTTATTTTTCATGGAAAAGAACAAAATTTTGGGGAAATGATTTAGCTGCTTCTATACACGGTAACAACTCCTCATCTTTGTCTAGGTATATCTGTATCATGAGGTTTTTTTTTTCCTTCATATCAATTGGCTCTAAAATGAGCTCTAAACCCTACATTTTATTTGTTTGAGAAATTGTGATTTGATTATTGTTCCAGTCCCAAGCTGCTTGTTTCAAGAAAGCGAGAGATGATCTACACAAGGTCAAAGCATGTGTTTTCTCTCCACAATTCAAAGTTATTAAGTGTTGGTGGGTCGAGTTGAAAATGGTCAAAATCCATAGAAAAGAACTCAAAAAAATCTAACAAGGTTTGTACGGTTATTGCTATTTATGTATAACTGTATGAATATATGTTTGAACTGTAACTATGGCTACTGATTTGGCTGTTGAAGAAGCTGACATTCGTGAGGAAGATGTGTTGAAGGAGAAAGATGCTTTTGAGGAACTTAAGAAGCCGGCAGCGAAGTCGCTGACTGAGACATTTAATCAGTTGATTGAGACTGTTAATCTAGTGAGAATCATATCTTTTTTTATTTATAATGCTTTAGATTTTGTTTGAGGGGTAAAATAGTAATTTTGTTTGATTTCGATTTTCAGGGGAAGTAGGATGAAAAAGCCGAACAGGCGACCCGCCCATCAAGAGTCGCTGATGCGGTCAAACATCGGTGATTTGTTGCGTATGAGCGTGAGGGTGTGTCTTACCGGGACCCGTCTGTACGGATGACTGATTGGAATGAAGTTATGGAAGAGTCGAAACCGGGCCCGCTATTGACAACTCAGTCTGCACGGGTGCATGGATTGTGGTACCCCTTTTTGGCATCAGGTAACAAACAACTTTCCGTAATTAATTTTTACATGTTTTTGGAGTGTAGTTTAGTAAATTTACTTGTTTGTAAAATAATGAATGACAGGAGCACACGGTTTGTCCTCTTGGGAACAAAATCCCTGAATTCAACGAGTTGGTTTACCAGAACAGATGGCGTGAGGCATTGGATCGACTTCTTGAAACAAATAACTTCCCAGAGTTCACGGGCCGGGTTTGCCCCGCTCCATGTGAAGGTTCATGTGTGTTGGGTATAATTGAAAACCAGGTCCCATCAAAAAGCATTAAATGCTCAATCATAGACAAAGCCTTTGAAGAAGGATGGATGGTGCCCAGACCCCCCCTCAAGAGAACAGGGTATGTGTAACAATATGGTAAATATGTAGGTAGGTAGGTCTATACGTTTCATTGTTTTTGTTTTTATATAGGGATAATCCACCTAAGAAAAGATAATGACTCATTCCATTATCTTTGTGTATGTATGTTGAATTTGTTATTTACCTTTCAGCTGAATATGTAACTCTAGAGATGATGATTTCTGAGACATTTATTGGTGGATTAATTAGGAGATGTGGCTCAAACATATCTCGGATCAGAACAGAGTCAGGAGCAACTATCAAGGTTTTGTTTTTAGATATTTTTTTGTGCAAGTTATTTAGCAAAATGACTAGAGATTTTAGGAAAAAAAAACAACCCTTTTGTTTTTTTGTTATCAAACATAGACAAATTCACTTGGGTGGTAGTGCTCAGCAGGTTGGTGATTCCTTTAAAAAAATTGCAACTTTTAGTTATCAAAATAAGATTAGTATTTTTATAACACAAATTTGATTAAAATCAGTTTTAATTTGACGTGAAATAGGTTGCTTTGGAAAAGCAGAGAGTTGATGAGTACATATATACTCAGATGATGCAGGAAACTGGTGGTCAGCAGTCCATGTAAGTTTCTTGATTAGTAACATCTTGTATTCAATAAATAGCAATGTACTTTCCATAAAAAAATTATAAATTATATTCTGTGAAAAAATTGTTAGATTGGTAGGTTTAAAAGTAGAATGTCCTAATAAGAATTAATTTTAAAAGTATAATAAAAATGACAAGTGATTTTGTGTTGTGTTTATAGGGTTGATGAAAGCGAATAGCTCTGGAGTTAGAAGAGGAAAAGAAAGCTCAAGCTGAAAGAGATAAGATGCTGCAAATGCAAGTGTTGCATTCTTCATTTCAATTGTTAGTTGTACTACTAATGATGGAAGCTGCTAATAAAGGAAATAGAAGAAGCCGCGTGAAATAGATTTTTTGTATGAAACACAGAGTAGATTAGATGAATGCAAATTTATATATTGTAAGAAATAGAATTGTATGACATTAAATTTTATACACACATCACTTGAAATCCTTGAGGTCTCAGATAAAACCAATCTAAACCAAGATTTCACAAATTCTACTTAATGATACAAGTCATTCTTCCCGTGACTAGATGAAACTCCTCTTCACCTTGGTTACTACAAATGATGGCAAATATAATCCTAATCGTAATTCCAATGGATTCTATTTTGGCTTATGCAAAGGTAAAGGGTAGACTAGTGATCATGAAACTTCAACAAAAGAAATGGAATTTTACAATGATGAAAAATCAAATCAAGGCGCGGATTTTGAAACTCAATGATGACATTTTATCAATTTTAAATGACAACTAAAGCGGTTACAGTTTTTCATCAGCTGGCAATTTCCTATTGGGCCATTTTTTTGAGACATGATGGGCGTGGGAATTCTTGGTTGACGTGGGCTGATTGGCATTAAATGCGTGAACATCGATTTCTCTCTCCACTTTTGCTATACCAGTTCAAATTCAAATTAAAAACCATTTGGATATCCAAGCCTGTATAAAGCTGAAGAGGTGTTTGTTCTGTGCTTTACGCTCATAAAATTTTACATAGTCTTCTACACTTCTCTCCATTATTCTTCGATTCTCTGCAAGCTTTCTTCATCCTTAAACGTCTGGTTCTTTTGAAAATATTTCTTTCATGGATAAAACTGCTTCAAACACCATGTTGAAGATCAAGGTTAATCAAAATTTTGTGGATGATTTGGAAGCTTCGAAGTACAATCCTTCTATTCGTCCTTTGATCGAATGCCTCAAATATTCTCCATTGATGAAAGATTTGTCGATGTTCGGGAAGGTTCCTTTGTCTTCCTTATTTGAGGCGTATTCAACGACTATCTATCACTATACTCAAGAGGTGATCAATTATGAAGTTTATGGGCACAAAACTTCAATTTCAAATGCGCAATTCTGCAAGGTTCTTGTAACACTCAGTTTCGAATCACTTCATTATTTGGGGCCGTGGCCCGATCATCAGTTATCATAAGGCTTAGGGCCTTAGGGAATAAAGGATTTGGACCCTTTTGGATGTGGGTATATAGTCTAAGTGATCTGAGTGTTCGTTTGTGTTTCGGAGCCCAAGGGTATAATCGTATTTTGATAACTCGGTCCTTTATGAATTTTGGGTTTTATTCGGGAAGTTCTTAGGCGAAGGTGAGTTGATATAAGTGTAGGGATTCTTGTCACCTTTTCGTAGATATAAAGTTCGTTGGAAACGGACTGAGGATGAATGATTTATGGCCAAACGAAGTTTTAAGTGTTGGAGCTTGGTCAAGTACATGGGGCGTAGTGCCTGGCTAGATCGTGATTGTGCCTTGAATACGTTGGGCGTACTAAGGGGTACGCGGGGCATACTCCCATCAGCTAAAAAACCTCATTTTTAGGGGTTTACCCATATTTAAGCATCTTATCTTCTTAAGTCATGACCCTTATCAGCCTCTAAGCCTCCTAAACGCTAATATTCGACCCTTAGCCACCATCTTAGAATTCTCAAGCTTTTGTGTGTGATTTTGGAGTGTTCTTGAGAATTTGAAGAGGTTGAAGATTGTTGAAGGATCATCTTTTGAAGTGGGGCTTGTAGATCCATAACTTTCTCATCCTTTTCCATCTATTGAAGGTAAAAAGCTCTCATATTGGCATCTCTTTGGTTAGATCTTATTTGGGGTGATTTTTGGTCCCTTTGGTTTGTATTTATGAGTTTGAGCTTTCCCGAAGAGTAGGACACTAGATCTGGACATTTAGGTGTCCCAAATTTATAAAAATGTGATCTTGATAGTTGATATCAACTCATGCATGTGGTTTAGCCTTTTTAATGAAGTTGGAAAGTAATAACTTAGATTTGGGACCCATTGAGCCATGAAAAAGCTCAAAGTTAACAACTTTAAAGATTAAGGTGTGTTTTGGATCTAGATCTGAGTATTGGACGTCTTGGCTTAGGGATTAAGTCATTTTCAAGGTTGGTTGTGGGCAGGGTCAGTATGCGGGGCGTACGCTTAGCGTAACCACTTTGTATGTGGGGCGTACTTAGTCAGATGATATTTTTTGCATTTGGGCTTCAAGTTTGGCCTTTCTTTTGGGCCTGGGTGTTTGAGTTATTAATGGGCCATCTGAGTACAAGTGTTTTGGACTAGGAAATTGGTTGGGTTAATTTGGAAAATTAGGCCATATATGGGCCTTGGTTGATTATCTGTCTTTTTGGGCCTTTTAGGTTGAGAGTTTGGGCCTTGGTCTTGGACCAAGCTAGGTTAGGGGTAAAATGGTCTTTTTACCCTGAATATAGATTTATGGTTATAGATTGGAACCCAAATGTTGATTGGGTTATGTTGATATTGACAGTTCGGGGATTTGTCAGCTAGCTGCCAGGGATCATCTATGTGGTTCAGCAGTGCGAGGTGATTTTTCCTCACTGTATTTACCGGTCGAAGGCACCAAGGTCGGCCTATCGGTTTGATATCCTGTTCTCCTCTGATATGCTGAGTATGGATTAGATATGCATGCTTATGCTAGTTGTCGATGTGCTGGTTTGGAAGATCTATAGGACAACTTGTGATTTTGTCTATTTGATTATGGGTATATGTATGGGTTTTGTGTTAGGTTGAGGTTGTACTGCTTTGCGTTGTAGCTAATAAACCCTGGAGCATTCTAGATATGAGATGAGGGTCGAGAGGGCAAGCCAGACTCATACTGAGGGCTCAATAGCATTCCAGATATGAGTTGAGGGTCAGGTAGGGCAAGCCAGGCTCATACTGAGAGCTTTGTGGCATACCAGATACGAGGTGAGGATCAGGTGGTATGCCAGACTCATACTAAGGTCTAAACATTGGGTATTCCAGTCTGATGACTGAGGTAGTAAGCCATACATAAGCTACTGCCCCGAGGGCAAGCCAGACTTATGCTGTGGGCTTGGAAGAAAACCATATATGAGTTGTGGGCCTGATAGGTAAGCCAGACTCATATTATGGGCTCAAGGGTAATCCAATATTTTAGATATGGACCCATTGCATGCTGTTATTTTGTATATGTTATCTGTTTGTGTGTTGGCACCTTGGGGAACTCACTAAGCTTTGTACATACAGTTTTGGTTTATGGTTTCAGGTATTTCAGAAAATCGTGGCAAGGCGAAGGCGTGACCATACACATCCTGATTTTATGTCATTGATCTTGGGAGACACTGATTTTTAAATAATGTTTTGGAAACAATGTTTTTGTATACACTTTTATTAGTAAATGAGTTGTTTTGAACAGTTCTAATTGGTTGGAATTTTTGGGATGTTACAAGTTGGTATCAGAGCCTTGGTTTGAGTGAATTGGAGGAAGACTCGTATGAATCCAGTCTCAAATTAAGGAAAAAGATTTTAAAAATTATTTTCAACTTTTTTTTCAAAATAATCAAGGAGGATGCGATGTGTAGGATCAGTCGTAGCCAGTAAGTAGACACCAAATTACCACATTGTTATTTGATCTTGTGATATGTTAGAACAACATGCTAGTGATAGGCTAGGGATCTTCAAGAATTGCATGATAGAATTGCCTGATTATATGATGCCTAATAGCCTAGGATCTTCCTTATATGAAATTGACATCATTACAGTAGTTGCTTAGTGTATGCATCATAGTTGTACATAACTAAGATTCTATAGCCTGAGAATGTTTGGTTTAGCCTTATTTCTTGTTCTTGTTTGATGAAGGACTTAGGGTAGGATCAAGTATTCGACTGTCTATATGATCTAGTGTTATGTATGACTAGCATACACGAGTGCTGTAGAGTTGGTGGAAGTTTGATGAGTGGGTGTAGTGCATAGAGGGTCAACGCGAGGAATGACTAGCCACTTTTGAAAGAGTGAGGGCTGGTCGAAGGTGTATCCGAGATGCTAGGAGATGAAGATCAAGAATTTCGTATGAGGATATGACTGATTTTATTGTGTCTTAGTGCCATTCGACTCCACTACTCGAATGTTGCTTGCTTTGTGCTTTGTGGGACTCACATTGATGTGAGTTGACCATCAAATGAATACACTAAGTTACATGCTATGAAGGTTCAATAATCTTAGAGTGAAGGATTCAGCCCTATTGCACAGCTCTCGTTTGACTCTAACCGTTGTAGGGGTTGGGTCCTTTAGTCGAAAGATTATTTAAGTTTTGTTGCATGTAATTGTATTCATAAGGTGGTTGGCTGACATTGATTGGAGTTCTTCAGCATCTGATGTCAGGGGAGGTGGGGGAATCCTAGGAGAGCCTAGGAAGTATTTTAGTGTGATTATTTTGAGGTTGAGAAAGTATTGGGAGTGTTTTTATGAGTAGCTCTTAGAGGACCCGAGATGATCTTTGAGGGAAAGTATGGATAGGTGTGGAGGGTAGTATTGGGCCCGTACTACTGGAAGCACAGGATCTATACTCGAATCGAGGAGAGTTTTGGGGATTCTAAGGGCTGGTCAGTGAGGATAGCATGGTTTGATACCATGATTCGTGGCAGTGGTCTCGTATATGTCGATCTTTTGGTTATGGTTGCTCTGGCATGAGGATGAGACTGGTAATTGTTTTTGGCCCCAGTGGCGAGATCGATTTGGGTTGTTTGGTGAAGATTTGGATAAGTTTGTTGGTTTTAAGGTCTCAAGGATTTTTCTCGAGGCCGTACATTCGAGTCGCGAGACTCAAGAATGAAGCGATGGTTATGATCGACTTGGGGTTTGTTGGTCGCGGTGTTTGGCGACAGCATGCCAACGCCGGTTTGCGCAGGTGGATTGATGTGGTATGGATACT